AACTAGTAAAATAAGGTTATTATATACTAGTACCCTTAATATATATTATTAATATTATATAAGATAAAAAAGAGTATTATATAATATAATAAAACTAAGAGAATTAATTAATTAATTAATTTCTTAATTAAATATACTAGTTACTTAGGTAAGGCTATAGCTATAAATATCTATAGATTAGTAAAGTACTTAACTTTATAATTTATAATATATAATATTATATCTTACTAAAATATATTATTTACTAATATTAAAAGCTTTATAAATATTAATTTAATCTTAATATTCTTAATATTAATATATAAAAAATTAATTAAATTATATTTTAATTACTCTTATACTTAGTAAAAATAGCTTTTTATAAAGATATAAGTATTTAAAAATATTATATTTTAATATTTTATAGTACTTTATATATTAACTAAGGTAAGTATTACTACTAGGTATTATAAGACACTAAAGTATAGTATTTCTAAACACTAATTCTTTTATAACTATATCTTTTTATTAGTTATAAAGTATATAAAAATAAAGTATAATTATTAGTCTATATTTTAATATATTTTAGTAGTTAAATAAAGCTATATATATAGACTAATAAGTGTTAAAAAATATTATGTTTTAGTGTGATGTGGTGTGATGTGGAGCGAATTATGAATTTGAGTGCTCGAGTACGAAAAAGCAATAATGCAAAAATCGGTCCTAATGGTGCACCGTACCCTGCTGCCGAAAGCTGCGTTTTGCGAGACAATGTCTCTAAGATGAGCGTAGCATTTTATTGTATAGTCGTACATCGTGGCTGCGAAACATATCAGGCTATGGGGCCATGCGGCCGTGAGCCGTAGGAGATGCAAACACTCCCCGCACAAGCCCGGCTATGCAAGAGTTTTTGAGAGTGAAGCTGAAAGTGAGACTGTCTGTCGGTGAGAAAAAGTACGTAAAATCGTGCATTTTGTTTCAACCTGCGCATTGATTGAGGATTCGAAATGTTTCTTCCCCGCTGATAGAGCGTGTACTGATGTTGCCGTCACGGCAAAGGACTTGCCATTGTTAAATGCTTTGGGCTATAAATGCGGCCTCTGTCCCGACCTTTTTTCACTTTCTCAATAGAATCAGCTCACAAAACGTGGTGATCCCATCCTCTATTCGAAACAATGCGTACAATCACTCTTCTGCAATTTCTACCCCTCGTCCCCGCTGTGCTGGCCGACACGGTCCAGTACCCTGAGATTGTCCCCGGGCCCGGGCTTCCCAGCCTGGCATCTCTGGGTCTCACCTCAGAGCAGTTGTATAAGATGGAGTCGGTCTCACCTAGTAGTATGTTGCCGCACTTGATTCCTTTTCGAACGTGAAACCGCTTACCAAATGGCGGGCACAGAAGTCAACAAAAGAGCATCATTCGCCCCCAACTATGTCCCCTTTTGCGAATCCGATCAACGGGCCCATACCCACGTGGATGGTCTCAGGATGTGCTATACTTATCTGAGCTATATTGGTGCGCGGGACTGCACGGTCCCCAGTGGCTTCAGGAAGGCCCTATACTGTAACGCTGGTGACGCTCACATTAACGGGCTGTCTATCAATGGCAGGAGCCAGACATCGTCTTGGTATGTTCTTGCCATGTATCTCTGAAAGCTAGAGATCAGTTTCTGACTCGCTGAAATGAAGCGCGAGCGTTGCCGGCGCCCTTGGCTGGATCCTTGACAACTGCAAGCTCCCCAACAACCAGATCGCTGGTAAGTCTCTACATGCACTGCAACCTACTCCACGAAAACAATCTAACGCGTTCCCATAGGCTCTCAGGCTGTTTCTGGAAATGCTGATATTATCGTTACTGGTATGAGCTCTAGCTTTTCTTGTTAGAATGCGAGGGACATTTCGAAAGCATGTGGGCCGCCACGTATCTATCGAAAGCAGACCGTCAATCAGAGGACAAGGCTAGGATTCAGGCGAGACTCGATGTAGAGATGACGAAGATAGGTCTACTGTCATTACCAATATGAAGCTAATATGCGTGCGATGAAAGTCTCGGCATGAACTGGCGTAAGGTGTTTGCGCCAGCAGAGCATGTCCCGTCAGTGCATCGAGTCTGCGAATTGCAAAAGAACATTAGGAGTGGGAGACGCGACCCCAATCTGACATCTCATGCTCTGATTGTCAATAAATGGGAGTGTGACCCATTGAAATGACTCGTAGTATTAGTCGAAAGCGTAATATTCGCAATCTATACGTCCTACAGGGACTGAGAAACCATATTACACGCCTCGTACTTATGAAATGTTTATAGTAGTGGAAAGGAGCGAGGATAGGCGGACCCAAAAAGGACGCCTCGTTATCAGAAAACGATGGGCATTAGATATAAAGGCGGCGTAGTCTGGTCTATAGGTATAGTAGAGCCTAGCGAAAATAAGCCTCTTTGTATTTCTGCGTAAAACATGTTTCAATGTGACAGTGCCCATTGCTTGCTGTGTAAAAGATTTCATGCTATTTATTTTGGCTGAAAGGCAGACTCGCTTTCATTCATATCGTACACAAGAACCTATATTTCGAATACTGTGAGCATACAAGTTCTAACCAAGTGCATATATAACCACAATGGCTGCTTATGACCAGGGTGACAGATATGTGCCTTGAATTAATTTCAGTATTGCGTAACCTATGCCTATATTATCTGAGACATTTTAATGCACGAGATAAAAACTGAGAATGCAGATTCAGAGCTGCGCGTATAAATATCGTGATCTCCCTTCTCGAATTGTTAGCAGGCACGCCTCGGCTCGCTGACTCAGCCAGGACCCTCATCAGCCGCCACACCTTCTAGATAGCCTCTCTTCTCTTTCTCCCACACATACACACATTTATTAGGTCTTTACTTTAGCTTATACCTCGCCATATAATTCCGTCACTCTTACTCTCTTTAATCCGCTATATAGTAGTAATTACTATTTCTTACTAATTCTAGCTACTAGAAAAACGTTATCTCTACGCTATAAGCCTTAATATAACTTTTTTTATTAGTTTTTTATTAAAAAAGAAAGATTAATAACCTTTAAGATTAAGCCTAGCTCTTCTTTACCTAATCTTATCTACTAATATATTATTATATTATAATATATTATAAAAATAATAAAGTCTAAGTTATATCTATTATCTAAATATAAACTATCTTTAAATATTATTACCTCTTAACTTAGATTTATTTTTTTTATTTAGTCTTTAAAAAGTTAAAGATATATTAGCTTATTTTAAGCTTTTTTAGTTAACTTAGAAACCCTTTATTACTTTATTTTAACCCTTTACCTCCTTTTATTTAAATAATATTATTAGATATATAATAATTTATAATAAAACCTTAAATTAAAAAAAAAAAATAACTAAGAGATAGTTAAGGTTATTTTATTAGAAAAACTAACCTAATTACTTTATTAGAGATAATATTATAATCTTAAAATATACCTTTATCTTTAGTACTAGACTTAGTAAAATCTTTACCTCTTTTTATTAAAGAATAAATTAACTAACCTCTACTCCTTCCTCTTAAAGAAGAGCCTATAACCTAATAACCTATAACTTCTCTTACTTCTCTTAGACTATACCTTTTCCCTAGTACTAGTTAATAAAATCTCTCTAATTAATAAAGATAATATTAGCTTCTTAAACTAGATATTAGATCCCCTTATTATAAAATACCTTTATTTAGTATAAGAGAATAAAAAAGACTAATAAAGAATAATATAGACCTTTCTCTTATAAAAGAAATAATAATATTATCTAATTCCCCTTTAATAGATAAACTATTAATAAGAAATACTTTATAAAAACCACCTTTACCTAACCCTTTTAGATACTAGTATTTAAGATTACTATCCCTTATTAATATAAAATTAGATACTTTATTTTATATCTTTTCCCTTATTAATATATAATTTATACCCTTTTTATATAACTTAATTAATAATAGTAATATAATAAAGATTATATTAATAATATAATATATTAGCTTAGACTATAGAAATAATATTATATAGATTTAGATAGCTAAGTAAGAAGTAGCTAAAAACACTTATTATAAGCTTTACCTTATTTTAAAAGCTAATAATAATAAGGTTAAATTAGTTATTACTATTATTTAAAATATAAAGATAAAAAAATAATAATAGCTTAAAGCTTATATCTTATAAGACTTAATTATAAATTAGGCTCTTTTTAATAATATAACTAGAATAATAGAATTATTTAAATAATTCTTAATAGGCCTAAATACTAATAACCCCTTAAAGTCTTTTATAAGAAATACTTCCTATTATTCCTAGTATTTTAATTATTCTTATTATTATATAAACTATTCCCGCCTATTATTACTTACTATTTCCCCTAGATAAGGATAAAAGATATAAGATAAACTACCTCTTAATTTCTACTAATAGTTTAAACTAGAGGTTCTAGTATATAACTTTAAGAAGATAGATATTATCTTTTATATTAACTAGATTAGATAAATAGCTAGTTAGGTAGGTATTAATACTATTCTTTAAAATATAGCCTTTAGCTTATTATCTAATTAAGAATTAGATAGTTATATTTAGTTTATTAGCTTATTAAAGTCTATTAAAGCTTAATTAGGTAAAGACCTTAATTTATAGATTAAACTCTTATAAGAATATTTTAAGTATAATTATAATATAATTATAGAGAAAGTAAATACCTTTAAATACTCCTTTACTACTAAGGACACCTTAATACTTTAATAGTATCTAGACTATAAGAAAGCTCTCTATTATAAGACTAGTAATATAAATAAAGACTAAATAGCTTACTATATTCTCTATAACTTAGACCTAAGCCTAGTAGTTTTAGTTAATTTTATAAATAACTTAATAGTAGACTTTATTACCTATAAATTACTTATATATTATTATAAAGCTAGAAGAGTCTAGGAAGCTTAATAAGATATAATAGAATAGATAATTAAAGCCTAGGCCTAAACCTTATATTTATTATATAAGGAATTATAATAGCTATAAGATAGGGATTCCCCTTAAGATAGCTACCCTTATTAGTAAAATAATAATAACTACTAGGATAGTTATCCTTAATGCCTAGAAGGTAAATTTAGTAACTATAGGGATAGTTATCTTAGATAATAAGAAGTTAACCCTAATAATTATAAAGATAGATATTAGGACTAATCTTTATACCTTTATAATTATTATTATATAAATTAAGAAGATAAGCCTTATAATAGATATAATAGTAAGCCTTAAAATAATTACCCTTAAAGATAGAAGAACCCTTATAATAGTTAGATATATAAATATAATATAAAAAGGAAATATATATAACTAATAAAGCCTATTATAGATAATAAGATACCTTTTACTAAATAACTAATAACCTTATCTATAGATTAATATAAAAAGGTATTTAGTATTAAGCCTTTTATATACTTTATTAAAGTATATTTTACTTATATAGAAGATAGTTAAATTAAAGTTAAATATAACTCTAACTAAACTAATAAATTAGATAATAAGGTAAGTC